GCCTTTCTTGCTAAAACCATTGTCTGTTTTCATCAAAGTGCTGTGTGGCAGGGCCCTGTCCCTTGAACCTTTGTTTCCATAGCCAGTTATTCAGCCACATTCCACGCCACTTGCTCATCTCCATGGGCAGAGCTCCAAACCCTTGTGGCTGAGGGTCTCCAGCTGTAGGCAGGAGGGCAGTCTTCTGAGATGGCATTTAAGTCTCAGGTGCAAGGGCTCCAAGGGCAACAGAAGTTGGGGGTTGAGTTGGAGGAGAGGCCAAGGCAGCCCCTCCCAGCCCACACCACACGCAGGGCATGATTTGTGGTGTAATGGGAAAGGCTTGCTGCTTTATCGCCGGGTGAGTTTTCAAAGAGGCGCAGGACTGAAATAGTTGGACAGGAGTCGTTACGTGAGGGAAGGCACAAAAGTGAAGATACATAGGATATTTGTACTCATCAAATAACACATCGGTTTGACTGGCCTAGGATCTTAAGATAGGGAGCCGAGGGAAAACAAAAAGCAGCTGGATGAAGGAATTGTAGGTGGCAGAGACGACACCCACACTCATTTCCAGGTAACGAGGTGCGTGCTGGGAGGACGGCCCAGACAGACATGGTTCCAAGTCTTGGCTCCTTCAACAGCCAACTGTGAGACTTTGGAGTCCAGGGCTGAAATGCAGCAATAACGATGCCTGCTTGCCTTAGTTAGGAATTGTGCTTGGCTAGTAGCAACAGAGCTTAACACTAATGACTTACTAATGAGAAGTCTGGAGCTCTGTACTCAAGGACTGATAATTTGGCAGTATAATGTCATCAAGGGCCCTGGCTTCCTACCCCAGGCTCTCATCACCTGGTGTTCACCAGATGGCTGTTGGATGTGTTCCCTTTGTGTTCAAGTCCCAGGTGAGGCGGAGCAGAAGGGACAAAAATCACACTCGGGCCGCAGTGGCAACTTGCTCCTGTCTTTTAAGGGGGATTTTAATGACCCTCAGCCCAACAACTTTCTTTTCTATCTTTTGCTAAAACTTAGAAGGACACCAGATCTACAAGGGGGGCTAGCAAAGGTGGTTTTTCAGGCAGACACATGGCTGGCTGCCTCCAACAAAAGCAGGGTTCTGTTAATAAGAATTTAGGACAAATGGATGTTAAGCGTCTACAGAGATGTCTCTGTCACACGTGACCTCGCATAGCTGTTTCAGGATTAGAAACAAGTCATCTGTGTTTTATATACTTAACACTTTCTGATGATGAGAAGGTTTAGGAGGAGGGACAGTTTTGGGGAAATGTTGATGAATCTGATTTTTTTTAAGTATGTAGCCCTAGTAGATGTTGCAGGTATCTGGAGTAATTTACAAAACCTCAGGAAAAGAATTGAGACTGGATACCCAGGTTTTGATCTATCTGCATAATAAACAGGTTGCACCAAAGCTTTAAGTGCTGCTGCAAAAAAAAAAAAAAAAAAAAATGGGAGTGTGCTCTCTAACTGGTCACTGACACAGGGAGGAGGCCACCAAGTGTTTTAGGCTGGCGTTTGCACAAACTGGTGAAGGTAAGTTTGGCTCATGGTTAGAGGAACACCAATCATTCCCTTTCCTGTTCAACCTGTCATTGGCTCAGGCAACTGCATTTCTCTGCCCCTAGGCCAGTGGACCCAGAACTGCTCAAGGGAGCTCCCCCAAACTTCTTCAGGGCCTTTCTTCTCTTTGGCTCAGTTGCAGCCCCCTGCCCCCTGGATTCTAATTCAGAGACATTTCTCACCTCTCTAAGAAGTGCCCGTATTTTCTTGGCCCAGGTATTGCCTTTTTCAAGTAACTTTGTACATTAGCTAATACTCATACATAAACACAAGCCTTTTGCATGTCCAGAGGGGTTGGTGGAAAATAGGAGCTCCTTTAATAGTGGGTGATCCCAAGTTGTCATGATTAAAAGACATAATCCCCACCACAGCTCTTCTGGGCAGTTTGTGCTCCTGGTTCTTGCTGAGATTTGCCATCTCTTTTCAAGCCAGCACCTCGCCCTCTCCCCATATCTGCCCGACTTCCTTCATCAGACTCCAGGATAACAATGTGTTGGTTTCCTCGTAAGTATTTATTCTTGATTGGTATTTTTAAAAAATATTTTATTTAGATCCTGTGTTTCCTGAGCTCTAGAGTGTCACACTCAGGTGATTAAGAGAGTAATTGCAGATTGCATGACTAATGAAAGGGAGACCTGAGATCAGGATGTCAGAATAGTTTCACAAATTACCAAATATGTCCACATGAGACACTGCTATTTAGGAAGGCCTGTGGGAGGATTATAGCTCTTAAATAACACACATTTCTAAGTGGACGCTGCATAGCTTATGATACAGAAATGGTTACTGTTTGAATGATAGAAACTCTGGTGTCCATCCCTCTCCAAAACATATAGGGGCCTAGGTGATACCTGGTTCTCCAAAAGTTTAGGGATTTTTCTGAGGTGAAGAGAAGTTGGAGACATTTAACATATTAAATGAATTTTCAAGTTTAATGTCCTTTATTCTAATCTTGGAAACTTTGAGATGATTGATAATAGAGCTGAAATGTTTCTTAAATGAACAACTTTAGACAGTTGTTGTCAAGTTCAGGGCCTTTTGGCTTTGTTAGAATCTAGAAGCCATTTGTACCTGAATATGTAGACTTGGTCATAGTGATTTGAAAAAATAAACAAATGAGGCTTTTAGAATTGGCTTAATGGATGCGTGAGGTCATGGATTTTAAGTGATAATCCTCTTGTCAAACATTAATGTCATTTCTTCTGTTACCACTGGATAAAATAGATATTAAAGCATAGATGTATGTATATTGGTTGCATAGACATATACATATACTGGTTTGCCTAATGCAGCATTCCAGAGAAGAAAATCCAGCTATTCTATTTAATTGAAAGTTAAGGTCTCTTTGTAACATTAGATAAAATTCTCTCTCATTTGCGTGGAACGTGGATCATGGACGGTAAGAATGGAAGTATGTTGATACGGGGTAAAATAACGCAGAACTGGGCTGAGTGGTGCTTAGTTGGACTGTTGGTGCTTGAGCGCTGGTGTTGAGACATTTACGCAGTCCCATTGCGCGCAATCGGTGACCAACTCTAGATTTTTAATATGCTCCGTGACGTGACTGGTGGTGCCATTTACTCAGATGAGCAAGAATGAGGGAGGAAGTGGGGATTCTAACATCAGTTTGGAAGTGTTTCATTTCATTTCATGTTGTATAGCCCATGTGGTGATAGTAAATAGGTAATTCAATAAAGTATAGTGGGCCAAATGAGATTTTATATAAATTTGGGAGCAGTCAAAAACATAGAAGGTGTTTAAGCCGTGGGACTGTATAAGTTGCTAAGGAAAAGTGTTTACATAAATAAGAGGACCCAGGGGAGAGGTTCGGGAGAGTTTGAGTAATTGGAGATCACAAAGAGGAGGTTGAGCCAGCCAAGGTGACGGAGAAGCACCAGCTGGTGAAGTGGGGCGAGGACAGAGGAGACGGGGTATTGCTAGTCTTCATTACCGTCACTCTTGGGCACATGCCCCTGTCCTCCTGACCCCTCTCTCCTCAACTGGTTAAATGCCACCATCTGTTTTTTATTCACCTGCACACACATGCATGAGACCAGAGCCAGACAGACAAACAGGATGCCCGGTTTCACATTAATGACCACAAACCTCAGAGGTTCAATCCACAGTGCTTAGCTGATCCAGTGCACTTCTGTGTGTGTGTGCATGTGTGCGTGTGTCCATTCTAAAAAAATTTCTATCTCCCCCTCAAACCACCTTCTCAGCTGATAGCCTTGTCTCATATGCCATCAAGTCTATAGAAGCCATCCAAACATAACTTCCTCAGATCCTCAACACCAAAATACCTCTCTTAGCACAAATACAATCCTATTTGTTGGTTTATGGTTAATTTTCTTTTCTAACATTTTATGATGCCTCCTCTTTCCTTTTTATGTTTCTTGCCTTTTATAATACAGCAGACTTGAAGTAGATGATTCTATTTAGTAATAGTTCAGGACTATGTAAATGTAAAATACTTGTTTAGCCTTGGTTGGGTGTGTGTTTATCTGTTTATTGTTGTTTGTTTAAGTATTTGTTTTTATGTGAGAGCCCTTAATTCCCCCAACTAGAAAGACCATGAGTGGAATCTGAAGACACTCATTTATGAGTACAGAGTGAATTTTGTGTATGGGATAAAAAATTAGATCCAATAAGAATGATTTTCACTAATATTTGGATAGGGGATATTTCATGAAAAGTTTTTACACCCCAAAATATTCATGCAGTTTCAGCAGTTCCACTTTGAAATATATCTACGGGACCCTGGTCAAGACCCCTGAATGAGAGAGGACCCTTTTTTGAATAAGATCAAGCTGGGGTTATCAACAAAAGAGATGTTACTAAGTATATATGAATGGCAAGACGTCCACATGTTTCATTTCAGAGGGACCTATAACCATGACCAGAGCTGCTAAATTGACTATAAATGGTTTTTAGGAGCCAAAATAATAATAAAGAATTGTGGAAAGTTTATAATGGCACATGCAAGGCCTCTGTGAAGATAACTGTACAATGGTGTTGATTTTGTATTGTCCAACAGAGAAGCCGAGATACACTGACAAGCAGGTTGAGTACCAAGTATGCCCTGGCTGGTTTGGCTCAGTGGTTAGAGTGTTCGAGCATTGGCCTGCGGACTTAAGGGTCATGGGCTCAATCCCTAGCCCTAGTAAGGGAGCGTGCGGGAAGCAACCAATTGATGCGTCTCTGTCACATAGATGTTTCTCTCTCTCTAAAAATCAATGCAAAAATATCCTTGGGCAAGGATTTAAAAAACACACAAGTATAACATCAATAAAGTTTAAACTAAGTGTGCGTTTATTGTTATTAATATGACAGATCGCAGAGTCAGCAGGACTCGATGATTGGCTGGGCACTTAATGAAATAAATTTAGCTAATTATAATCAAACATAAATGTTGAAGCTTTTTGTTGTTGTTGTTCAATTAGGTATTCGATTGACAGAAACACAGACTTGGAGAGATACTTCAACATCGATGCCAACAGTGGAGTGATTACAACAGCCAAGTCTCTGGATCGGGAGACGAATGCTGTCCATAATATCACAGTGCTTGCGATGGAGAGCCGTGAGTTGAACGGTTTAGAATTGAATTAGGGTGGAGGACATTGGAAGGGGAGAGTGGGAGGTCATGAAGCTATCATTTCAACTCCAGTCATATTATTGCAATTGAACAAAAGTGTGAAAATCCCTACTTTTAAGTTGCAAAATATATTTATGTTCATTAATCTTATATGCTAATACTTACAAAGCTGATGAAAAGGGACAGTGGGCCTGAATCACCTGTAGAGAGCGTCGTGTCTGTTCTGTGTGCTGCATTTATGCTGATGTGGAGTTGGTCATACAGCTTCCAAAAATCAGTGAATTGGTCTTTCTGCCTCAGATGCCCAGATTTGCATATTCTGATAATGAACTAATTTCAGCCCCTCATAAGAAAAACTGTAAGAGAATAATGCATAATTGTAATGCACTGTTTTATACACATATTTAATATTTATGTATCTTTATACAAATATAAGCTCTAGCATCAAAGAATCTTGAAATACATGGTTCATAGGTCATTCTTTCAACAATTATCAGGAGCTAAAAATACACAGGCATACTATCCATACCTACATAGGGATACAGTTACAGGACATTGGATAAGAGTTTCTGTAGCTCCCTCTAAACTCTATTTTATTTGAGGCCTGGCCACTTACTAGAATTGTACTTTGGATAATCAATTTCTGGTTGATTTTAACTGTCTTTAATATGAGTTTCGTGAGTAAAAGGAAACATATTGAAAGTTTGAGTGAAAGCACTTGTACTGAGCGAAAGGCAGTGGAGCAACAGCTCTGCTCTGAGCGTAAATGACAGAGCTCTTCCTGTTGATTAGAGAACCCATCTCAAGTAGGAAGAGGCTACGTGAGCATCAGGATCCTGGACATCAATGACAACGCCCCCGAGTTCGCCGTGGACTATGAGACCACTGTGTGCGAGAATGCCCAGCCGGGGCAGGTAAGCGGCTTCCAGTGTGCCATTCCTTCCAAAGGGGCCAGCGGCGGTCGCCTTTGAAATCCTGCCAGCCGTAAGATAAAACGTAATCAGCATGTTTTGGCAGAAGGAAAGCTTTGATGTGTAGCATCAACTAATATTAAAGGAACTTTCAAACCGTGGTTTCATTAGGTTGATGGAAATTCCCAGGAAGAAAGGTAAACATTGTGAAATCCACAGGGTTTAACCTTCTTTTAAAAAAAAAGAAAAAAGAAATAGGGCCTGTTAAGCTCCCCTGGGCCGTTTCCCACCTTAGGGCTCAGTGCCTGGACGTTCTGGGAATTAAGTGGGGCTCCATGTCAGTGCGGTTTGTCTCCTCGTGCGCGTTGCTCAGTGTCTTGCGACCTTTCCCGGGATGGCATGATCAGCTGGCGGCTTATTTCTGACATTCAGCAAGGTGAATCCAAGCCCGAGCTCTGAAAGGACATGGCTTGGCGTTTAGAGCCCCTCTTAGTTGGGTGCCACAGCCCCAGCCCCAGCCCACCCGGGAGGCTGGTGCTCCCTGCAGTGTGCTCACCGCCTGCCTCCCCCAGGTCATCCAGAAGATCAGCGCTGTGGACAGAGACGAGCCGTCCAGCGGCCACCAGTTTTACTTCAGCCTGACCCCCGACGCGGCCAACAACCACAACTTCTCGCTGAAGGATAACCGAGGTAAGGGGCTGCCAGGCCATGCGGAGGCGGCAGGTGCAAACTCGAGGCGAGGGCCCCTGCTCACTCAGGAATGCTGATTACTCGTTTTTGTTTTTTTTTTAATATATCAGCAAGGACATTAATTAAAGGGCAATAAGCCCCTAAGGTAATTCTTATCTATGGATTTGCTGTCATGAAGAAGCTGCTACTTAAATAATTTTAGGCCTAAATCCAAAGAGGGGGGAAGCCAGATCCATCTCTCCCTGTCATTCCTTCTAGACACTGGCTTCCTCATTTGTTTACCGAGCCCTTTAGGTGATCTCATCCGTGGAGGGCTGGCTAAGTGCCTCTATGGGGACAGTCCCGCGCAGCCTGACTCGAGACATCAGGCAAATGCTAGTTGCACTTGACATAATGAGTTCAATATTAACATTAGTCATTCTTTTACCTTAACCTAAAAATAAGTGATCCATGCAAATAATAAAAATGTATCGTGAAGAACAAAAGAACCCCATCATCACAAGTCCCATTCCTCTCCTACAAAAGTAACAACTCTGATCAGTTTCCTGAGTGTCACTACAGAAACGTTTTTACAAACACCGATGAGCAAATTCTGGTCTTGCTTAATTATTCATCTATATAATAATTATAAGAACTTTAAGCATGAGAACCAGCTCTCTACTGTGTAAATTCAAATTTGTGTATTCACGTGGGTTTTCATTCAAGGTATTTATTTTAGCAGAAGAAGAGCATTTGCAACTAATAACTATATCTGGACTAGTATTCCCCAACAACACAGGAAATGTAAGTCTTTCATATTGAATGCGTGAACCAGGTTTCAGGGGGGAAATGCAGAAATCCAGTTGCTAGTCTAATACTGGCTTATCTGCAAAGACCTGTTCTCAGAAGATGGGCATGATAAGTGCCTTTACCTGAAGCCACCACCTTCTTTGGTGCAGAAAACCCAACTTTGGCCTCAGACATTTCACTCTGAAGGGATAATTTATTCTGATCCCTTCTCTGCTCAAGGAGGACACTATCAATGCCCTTAGCAACAGAAAAGGTGGAGCATTCTCCCTGTGAGGAATCCCAGACTCTCTGGCCTCATCGGGGCTGGCGGGGACAGTGCTCAGCACTCGTATGGCAGAGAATCTGTGATCTTCCTGAGAAGAGTATGAGTGTCTTCCCCCATGTGTTGTCGTCCAGGACCACCCTGATCATGATTGCGGGCCAGCACAGGCACTATAGTGTCTGGATTTTCAGGACCCCATTGAAAGATTACCCACGTCAAGTCTGGAGCTCCCGCCCCTCTGACCTTGAAGGGGAGCTGTAGGGACAAACAGAACGTCAGTTCTTACGTTGGCCTCTGTCTTAGGAAGCACATACAAAACATGGTGAGTTTTATGGTCTCTTTCCAGAACACAGGGTTCTCATCTTAAATAGTGGGCATTTTACTATGTGCTCCTCAATTCACTGTGTGTTTGAGCGTGTGAGGTCAGGCACATTAGATTACTAATTAACAACTTTGTGTGTCAGATCATAAGTACATATAACATCTGAATGATTGGGAGACCAAGACGTGTGTGTGCGGGCACATGTGTTATTGTTAAGCGTATAGAAAGATACTCAAGACAATATTCTTCAACTCCATATGCAGTTTTTTTAAGGAACACTTCTCAGATTCATACATTTTAAAATAAGATTTGTTTACATAAAAACTACCAGATAGAACCTGAAAATCAAAGTTTTATTCTTACCGTGTCTATAATGGCAGGTTGTATGTTTTCTGCAGTCTTGTGGGAGCTTGCTATTCTCTTTGAGGCAGAATAGGTTTCTTTGTCATTAGAATATTGTTAATTCTTTTATGGTAGTATTGGATAAACTCTTTGGCAGCTTGGGAAGGAAAGATATATTAAAGCACCGGGTGAAACTATGATCCTGGTTTTCTTTCTTTTTCATTATTAATTGCTGTATGTTAAAGACTCACAAATTCCTAATTAGTTATTTAAGACAAGTTAGCTGGATAAATTGCTAGCAGATAACAAGTCTATTTCAGTTATAGAAATCACAGCTTTGTGATATTACTGATCACTAGTAAACGTTTAAATGTTTCATAATTCTTTAGATGAAATAAAATATTGAGTATAAATTAAATACAAACGACCCATTTTATCAGTGACAAAATTTATATACATGGGGTTTTGGTAATGATATATGCCAATACAGATTTTAAAAAACTCTAAGATAATTCCTTTCTTGACTTGCTATGCATGCTCAATTCAAATGAAACTAGAGTGGCTTATTTCACTTTTTTCTGTATTGGGTTTGGAATTTGTTGAAGAATTCATCTGAAATTTCATTTATGCTACCTGACGATGCTTTTAACATACTTAACCTGTTGATTTTTTATCGCCTTCTCTGTAAAGGTATAGTTTGAAATTTAAGGTGATTAAAAGGGTGCGTTCTATGTAATTTTTACAAAGTCGCGGGTTATATGAGCAGTGGCAAACATTTTCACGTTCGGTTTTCTTTTACAAGTGCATCTTCGGTCCTGTCTAGCTTGACGGATGCACTAAAATGAACCAGCAGTGGAAACACGTCCCTCTGGCCAGAGCGGCCGGAGCGCCGTGCAGGGGACGGGGCTGGCGGACGGGTGCCGTCAGGAGCCGCGGTCCTTAGCGTCCCTCTCTCTGCAGACAACACGGCCTCGGTCCTCACGAGGCGCGGCGGCTTCCGGAGGCAGGAGCAGGCGGTGTACTACCTGCCCGTGTTCATCGCGGACAGCGGCTCACCCGCGCTCAGCAGCACCAACACCCTCACCATCCGCGTCTGCGACTGCGACGCCGACGGGGTGGCCCAGACCTGCAACGCCGAGGCCTACGTCCTGCCCGCGGGGCTCAGCACCGGCGCCCTCATCGCCATCCTCGCCTGCGTCCTCACACTGCTGGGTAGGCCTGCGGCCGGTCACGGCCACTTTCCCTTCCCCGAGAACACTCGCCGATATTCAGTCGCATGGCATTTTGCTCACTGAGCAACCCGTGATCACTAGGTCCACTTTCCAGTGGTATATTTAAAATGGAAGTCAGAGGGAAAAAAATATCAGGTCTCTTTTTTAAAACAGTGAAGATAAATGGCTTATGTTTAAAGTTGAATTTTTCAAGGTCGGTTAGAATATTCTGCAGGGGAGAGCTATCTGAGAGAGCCTTCTCTAGGTTGTTTCAAAAATATGCCTATATTAGAAGTTATGCTTTCTACCCCAGCTCTTTTCAGAGAAGACTTAAGGTGGATTTTATAATTATTTGGCAATTTAAAAGGATTCAGTTCCATCAGTGCAGAAGTGATAATTCCTCAAGAACTGACATAGTTAATGGTACTTTTCCATGATTACTGTGGGTGAAATTAGATTTATAACTCATATTAGAACTGCCGTTTTCATAAGAAATTATGCGGCATCCTTTTAAAAATTGGGAAACATCCAACGTGGGCACTGGGCGATGGGTTCATCCCTGGGCTACATTCCCCTTCACGGTGTCTGACTTCCTACAGCAGCAAGGACAACAGGCGTTTCGGATTGCATCCGAGGCTGCACCGGGTTTTCTTGGGGTTCAATATAATTTGCAAATCCATTTGTAATGTAGTTTTGTAGAAGCAGAATTTAGCAATGGGACTCATCACTGTGTAATGTTTAAAAACCAGATTTATGGAGTTAGGTAGACCCAGCTTTTATTACTGCCTCCAACATGCACTACTTCTTCCCCAGGGAAGAGTTGATGCTCCCAAGGCCTGCTTCTTAATCTAAGAGGGACAAGTAATAGAACTCGACTCGGAAGGTTGTGAAAATTAAATGAGATAATTTGTGTGCCTGCCATAGAGGGAACATTTCATACATTTTAAGTGTTATCGATGAAGCAGGTTCTCAGCCTCTGAAGCAACCTAAGCCTTACTTACTAATACACTGTAAGTGATCTCATAAAATATGAACGTAGTTTTCTTCAGTAACCTCGGCTGGCCAGATAAATCTAAAAGGGAATAAAATGCTTTTCCATGTAGCTTCGTACGGGTGGCAGAAATTCATTAGACGTGGCAAGTAATTCCCAGTTCAAGCCCGATTAGAATGGGATGGGCCAAGAATAAATCTTGAAAAAGATGGAACCATTGAAAATTACTTTTGATTGGTCTACCGGGTTCCAAAACATACTAGTAAAAATGTAAATTGCACATTTATTTGTAGTAGTAGTAGTTGGATAACCCAGAGAGGAAGACAAAGGTGCCCCTTGGTGTTTAAAAAGGCAACGTCTTGAGCTCAGAGAGGCAGGAAAGAAAGGAGGGGTACGTGGTGCCTGGGTGACGCTTTTGAACTTGACCAGTTCATCACGCTGCACTTCATAGGAACAAGATAAAATTGCAATCCCCAGAATTCAATCACATCCCACAGTTAATTAACTTTTGATTTTTTTAAGGCTGGCTATCTAATGAAGCCTGCTTCGCTTTTTAGAAAATATTTTCACCTGTGACTTAGGGGTTCTTTGCAATTTCCGTTGCTTGATGATTCTCATTAGTTAAGAATCATTACCTAGTGGTTGCCGAAAGTAAGTAAAATAGAGTTTTATTAGATTTCAATATTGCATGCGATGTGTGTATACACAGATTAGTGAAAGATTATAAATTTGGTCAAAATTTAGTTAAGTCTGACTGTTCTTTTTTGCTAAATTTGAATATTTTCCTTAAATAGACACCAGATTAGGGATGCTTCTTCCACTTCTAAGAATCAGGTGTTTACGTCCCATATTTTTTTTTTTTTTTTCATATTTTAAAAAATGTTTCTGCAAGTCTACCAAAACATAAATCCAAACAGAGTCTATTGTACTGAAATGCTGTTTGGAAGCAGGGGCTTCTGCCGACAGCTTCCATTTTCCTGTAAGGACTCTGCCCAGTAGTCAGTCTGTTTGAATGTTAGCATTTCATTGTCTTTGTGCCATATTTTCTAAGTCTTTAGAAGCAGAATATCAGGGCCTTTTCTACTCTTCTGGTTCTGTCTCCTCAATTACAGACTCCGTTTTCACCGTAGGGGTCGAAACTAATGGGACAGTGCTCAGAGGGGTGCGGAGAGTGCACAGCCTGATTTGGAACTTGACCTCTAGGGCACAAATGACTCATTTTTTACAACTGGCATGAATCTTATTTCTAGACACGAGGTATCAGGATTTGTAACTCAGACCTTTGTAGGTTTCCGAACAAACTGCTAGAAAACAGCAAGGTGAGGAGATGCGAATGGGGAAGGAGGACTTGAGGACCAGGTTAATTTAAAGGTGAAACTAGGGAAGCATCTGGGCTTTAGACGCCTGAGAGAAGATTGCCTCCCACATGCCCAGGGTGTGTTCTGGGGCTGGGACAAGTCAAAGCTACTTGGGACGTGACAGAAGGGGATGCACCGGAGGTTCTAGAATGTTAGCACAGGAAGGCATCTCCGAAGTCCAGTCCAGCCCATCCTGCACCGCGCACTGGGGGAAGGTGAGGTATGATTCGTTCAAGGGTATCCAGGAATTCACATGACAGTGGCCTGTCAGGCCTAAGATCCTAGGCCTCCTCATGCTCAGTCACTGCTGTGGGACTGAAATACAAAGGGAACCCACCCTGAACACAGAAACACTAGTTCACGTGTAGTCCTTTCCGTCTCAAGGTTTGAGATCCGTCTGGTCTGAAGTTGGATTCATGAGTCTTCACTGATACCTGTATTGTTCTAACTCCGTGGGCGAACTCTTTTCTGAGGTCTCTCATCCTTACTTTCTCTAGTCTACCCACACCTGAATTCTTAAATGAAAGAGATGATCCAAAAGTTAGGAGACAAGGTTTCTCTTATTTATACCAAGTGCAGCTTGAATGGGAGACATTATTGTCATGTTCCAGGTTCATAGGAAGTCATCACTCAGTTGCCTCAATTTTTTTTGATGTGTCCAAACTTCACCAGTATTTGGCAAGACACTCTAGTGTTTTAAAGCTTGAATATGTATTTTGCCCTAACTCCGACAGTAGTTTCATTATATATTTTTATCATAGTATAATAATTATTGCTATATATACGCTTCAACCAAACTGAAAGCTCTTTAAGTAAAACAAATATACGAATAACTGATACTTTATTACTTCAGAAATAATCAGGTATAATTTAAAATATGGTTTCAGTATTCAAAATTATTGTGCATTTATTCAGAGAACATGACAGCTAGATTCTTTTAGTCTGCACAAGGAAGCTTTTTGCTGCTCACTAAAACTGTCACTATGTTTATTAAGTTTTATTTATTCTTTATTTGGTCCAAGTAACTGAAGTCCTGTAACTTTCCCTCCATCTCCTGGCTCTTCAGGCGCTACCGGGATTAGTTAGCCTGGCCCAGCGTCAGGTTTCTAAGGCATTTGTGGGACCATGTTGACTGCGTGGAATTCAAGCTCTGCCAGGAGGCCAGAGTGACATTTAGCTGTCCTGCATCCCTCCACTCTCCCCCCTGATCTACCAGATGCTAAACCAATTTCCTTCCCTGTTACTGTGACTCTCATAATTTTGTTCAATGGGAAAAAATTCCTGGTTGTGTTAGTAGTAGTATATAATACCTAAGTGAAATAAATATTAGATTGCTGAGAAAAGTGATAACACTGTAAAAGATTGTGCCCATTGTAATATATAACAGTAGCACCTGTTGGTCATAGCAGCCCTAGTGATCAGCAAGGCCAGACCACAGTGGCTCACTGATGGTTAGCAGATGTGTTCATTTTTCAAGCAAGTGTGAGCACAGTAAAAAATGAATTGCATGTAATGAGCTTGTAGTAAGTGCTTGACATTCACCAAGTGCTTTATAAGTATTCTCTCATTCTAATAACACATTTCCTAAGCAGATAGTAGTAGTAGTATGCCCATTTTTTATAGGAGAAAACTGTAAATTAGAGGAAATGGGCACAAAGATACAGGGTGTCAGAGCCAGGACCCAAACAGACGAGGCTGCCTCTGGATGTCCTCTCTAAGGTATTTTTCCCTGTGGGTTTCCAGTGTGAGAGACTTGTGTGTCTCTGGGACATGCCTGTAGGTGTGGGGGTATGTAGCCCAGGTACTGACAAATTGGAGGCAGTGGCATCTTAGATCTGTTTTACACAGCGGCTTCACCACGTCTTTGGTGTTAACTCTGAGTGTCTAATATAAAGTACCCTCCAGTTACGAGCACGTTTAGAACTGTGCATGTTACATTTGAGATATTTCAGTACAACTGAAATGTACCTATTGTTTTTGTGCATAAAACGGTCATTTACTTAGGTGAGTTTTTCTGTCTTAAAATAGAAAACTTGAGAATCATGTGAAATCATTCTACCATTTCTCTTTTCAAAACATTATTTTATTCTTTGCTGAAACATTTCATATGCATCAAGGGTATTCACATAGAAGCCACACGGTTCTCGGAGCCCAGCAAGCAGGTGTGTTCTGACACCTGCTCACCCCTCAGAGGCAGCACAGACTCTCTGAACCTTCTCACCCACCAGGAAGCCCCGCATCTTTCTCCCTTCGTTTCAAACGTGCCACCTTGTTCCTGAAACGCTCTTCCCACATCCCTTCCCGTTGGGCTCATGTGGTCATTTATGCCCCAGCTTCAGTGGTACCTCCCAGAGGGACTGTCCTCACCCACTGATTGAATGGCGTGCCCCTCACACCATGATTCTTTATCATGAGACCTTTGGGGCACATATCACAATTGTAAATATGTTTGTTTGCTTCCCACAAATATAAAAGCACCCTGAGAATAGTGATCTTAATTTTTTTGTAGGGAGAAAATATTTTGGGATGAATTTGGGTAGGATAATTTGTTATATATTTTAAGCCCCCTGAGAATAGGCCCAGAATCTCTATAATCCAATAAATAGAATAGATATTAAATAAATTGACTAAATCAGCAGTGAGTTTTCAAAA